GTAAGTATGTTTTGTTATTAGTTTAAGTATTTGCTATTGACTGAGTTTTGTGTAGCGCAGAGTAACGTGCCATTAAAGCATGTCAACATATTCTGTTACACCAAATACACAAAATAATGATCTTTAAAATAGCAAAATTGAGCAAAATTCGGAATGTATGTATTGGTAATGAAATTAGGCCAGTTAATTAGAAAATCTTAATACTTAAGTTAATGAACCAATGAAGTATTGCTTCATTTGAACTGGCCACACCCACAGGATGTTGTTTTGGAGTTTGAATGGTAATGACAGGAGGAGACGTTTACTGAAATTCAAAGAAATTCTAAAAAAGAAATGTCATCATGTCAAAGTGAGTTTTGTGACAAAACATGAATAAACATTAATTGTGAATAATTATGCCAATGTGTTCCCTGACATGTAAGATACACTTTTCTCAAATTACATTGACAAAATGGATTAAACAAATATTGACCTGAACATTTGAATATTAATTATGTAATAATATTATATAGTTACTTAGTAAATTAGATCATTCTGGAAAATGAATTGTTCTTTAAATATGATCTGTAAAATGGACATTAATTAATTTCATATATACACACACACACACACACACACACACACACACATATAAATATATCCATTAACCCTAAATACGATGCAATGCAGTGCAAAATTCAAAATACAGGTAAAACACCTGTAAAAAAGTTTTTTTCATATTAATACAGTACATTGTGCCCTATGTTTATGGATTTTTCTTTACACACACACTCACACTCACACGCACGCTAAAAAAAATAAACGAAAAATGTACCAGTAATTTTCTGCCAGGACGTTGTCCATTAATTTTACAGACATTTCCGTTAACCCTAAAATGCAACACAATGAAGTGCTAAATTCAAAATGCAGGTAAAACACCCTTGAAAATAAATATGGAAAATTATTTAATTTTAATACAGTACACTGTGCCCTAATTTTACAGATGTATATTTAAATATTTAAAATTAAAAGCATTTAAATGTCCTTTTTAAAATTTGAATAAAAAAAAAAAAATCAACTTTTAAAGGTATTCTCGGTCGAGCTGTCGTCACAGCCCGGGCCGGTGAGCTGCTCCTCTGTTGGGGGTCTGCAGGAGGCTGAATGTTTCATCATGTGTCTCAGCTGTAGATGACTGATGACAGACCACAGAACAATGAGCTCCATTCTCAAATAGCACCATCTGTGTCTCGTGTTCCACAAACTACACGTTTCTCACACTCCCCAAACCCCTGAGATACTTAAATATCAGTGATGGACGTCAAATAACAAGTTCCTGTTCACCACAAGGACACATTTCAGAAGTTTATGTTAGTCCAAACACCGTTCTGCTCAACACAGCTTGTTACCATATGCACAGTAGATCTTTTATGTATAGCAGATATTGTAAATGTTACATTTTAATGTAGGCCACTTCCTATTTTAATGTATTTTTGATTCAATAAATTCAGCCTCGTTGAGCATAAGAGACTTCTTTCAAAAACACACAAAAAAAATGTATGACCCCAGACTTGAACAGCAGATATACATTTGTAGTAGAAAATTAAAAATATGTTCATGTTGAGTCACACTACTAGACCATAACAACTGTTTAATAGGTAGAAAAGAACATTGATAAAAGATCAAATTATTTGAAAATTTTACATTATAGTCACAAGCCTTGGT